TAACTTGGGTCAAACGTTTCGGGTAGCCTTCCACAAGCTTCCCACAATAAGTTGGGTGAATTTTGGCCCATTCCTCCTGACAGAGCTGGTTTAACTGAGTCAGGTTTGTAGGCCTCCTTGCTCGCACACGCTTTTTCCTCATGATGCCATCTATTTTGTGAAGTGCACCAGTCCCTCCTGCAGCAAAGCACCCCCACAGCATGATGCTGCCACCCCCGTGCTTCACAGTTTGGATGTTGTTCTTCGGCTTGCAAGTCCCCCCTTTTTCCTCCAAACATAACGATGGTCATTATGGCCAAACAGTTCTATTTTTGTTTCATTAGACCAGAGGACATTTCTCCAAAAAGTACGATCTTTGTCCCCATGTAGTCTGGCTTTTTTATGGCGGTTTTGGAACAGTGGCTTCTTCCTTGCTGAGTGGCCTTTCAGGTTATGTCGATGTAGGACTTGTTTTACTGTGGATATAGATACTTTTGTACCTGTTTCCTCCAGCATCTTCTCAAGGTCCTTTGCTGTTGTTCTGGGATTGATTTGCACTTTTCACACCAAAGTATGTTCATCTCTAGGAGATAGAACGTGTCTCCTTCCTGAGCGGTATGACGGCTGCGTGGTCCCATGGTGTTTATACTTGCGTACTATTGTTTGTACAGATGAATGTGGTACCTTCAGGCGTTTGGAAATTGCTCCCAATGATGAACCAGACTTGTGGAGGTCTACAAAAAAATGTCTGAGGTCTTGGCTGATTTCTTTTGATTTTCCTATAATGTCAAGCAAAGAGGCACTGAGTTTGAAGGTAGGCCTTGAAATACATCCACAGGTACACCTCCAATTTACTCAAATGATGTCAATTAGCCTATCAGAAGCTTCTGAAGCCATGACATCATTTTCTGGAATTTCCAAGCTGTTTAAAGGCACAGTCAACTTAGTGTATGTAAACTTCTGACCCACTGGAATTGTGATACAGTGAATTATAAGTGAAATAATCTGTCTGTAAACAATTGTTGGAAAAATTACTTGTGTCATGCACAAAGTAGATGTCCTAACCGACTTGCCAAAACAATAGTTTGTTAACAAGAATTTTGTGTAGTGGTTGAAAAATGATTTTTAATGACTCCAACCTAAGTGTACGTAAACTTCCGACTTCAACTGTATATATTACCTCAATTACCTTGACTAACCTGTGCCCCCGCACATTGACTTTGTACCGGTAACCCCTGTATATAGCCTCGCTACTGTTATTTTACTGCTGCTCTTTAATTTAACACTTATTTTTCTTAAAACTGCATTGTTGGTTAAGGGCCTGTAAGTAAGCATTTCACAGTAAGGTCTACACCTGTTGTATTCGGCGCATGTGACAAATACAATTTGATTTGATTCATACTGTCACGTGCATTAAGCATAACCTTTCAAATGTAATTTGGAAACATTCATTAACAGTAAGGTTAACATTATTCTACCAGTGTGAGGTGAAAAAAATGACAACGCGATTCTGTCACCACAGTACAAGAGTGACAGTAGTGATGTCACAGAATTAGTGTCCCCACAGTCACCTTTAATCTCTCAGAGGTCCTAGAGGACAGAGCACATGACTATTCTGCAACAGGTAGCTACAGAGCACATTACTATTCTACAGTGTACTGCATAGGCTGTATGGGACAGGGCTGCACCGCACAGGGGGAGCTTGACGACTGCATATGCAAGAACTAATACACAAACATAACTACATCCACCTCACACACACGTACAAACAAAAAAGGCTGATATCTTGTTAGCTACATTCTCCTGCCATCTTTCTCAAAGTCAATAAATCAATTTAGGACAATGTAAATTCGATATCAGTTGGGACAGAATTAAACAATTCGTTTTACAGGGGAGAAACAATGAAGACAATGTACCCAGAGACATAACCTTCAGTACCTGAGCATCAACATCCCACCGAGCTCTCTGTAACCTTGTCTGGGTAGACAGAGTTAATGTCCCAAATGGTATCCTATTCCCTATTTAGTGTACTACTTTTGGCCAGGCCCCTGGTCAAAAGTAGTGCACTAAATAGGGAATAGGATTCCATTTGGGACATCCAGAGTTTGGACTGCAGAGCCTGAGCACTAAAGACAGACTGGCCCCTAGTGAAGAGAAAGCCTGAAGAAATTATTTATTGACTTAGTTGTTATGGTGTCAAAAATTGTTAAGGTCATTCAAATGTTCTACTGGTCTTAAAATGCTGGTCTTCATGCTGTGGAGATCAAGCTTATGTTACGTCAGAAACATTAGGAGTCGGTTTCCCAGGTGCAGATCAAGTCTAATCCTGGACTAGAAAGCATGCTCAATGGAAATTCTACATTGACATAGGTTTTTTGTGCAAGACCAGGCTTTTTCTGTGTCTAGGAAACAGACCCTGGGAGTTGTAACACTGGCTATATCAACATGTTATGACAGTTTATAACAGCCAATGGAATACTTTAACTTGAATGAAAGAAAATAAACATTGAAACGTGAGATAGTGTGCATCTGTGAAACAAAAAAAAAGAGCCAACTCGAGCACTGGGTTTTTCGTTTTATTTAAGGTTTGTTTTTCCAGACCGGCAGTGGACAGTTCAATTCCTTTAAGCTCCTCAATGTGTTTTTATCTCAGCATCATGTTAAAAACCACAGTAGTATGACTGATTGTTGGTTTCACCTGGATCAGTTCATGTTTCTAGTGAATACTGTTTTAATAGGGGATAGCAGGAGAGAGAAAGAGAGTGAGTCAGAGAGAGAGAGAGAGAGAGAGAAAGATGGAGATATAGAGTTAAGACTTAAAAATAAAGACTGAAGGGAGGTTATTCATTCTCAAGGCCCAGAGAAAGGCAGAGCGCTCCTTGGATTAAATTGCTAGCCGTCGTTTGTGTCGTTTTGTAGCGCCTTCCTTTCACACAATCTCCGATATCGCATTACATTATTTAAATTCTCACTCTTTTTCTACAGGTGCATATCAGGACATCAACCATTTCATCATTTATCCGTTTGGTCTTCTTGTGACTTTCCTGATAAGGGTTTAAGCTACTTTAGTTGCCACACAGTGGCACTGTGAGTATCAGACCAGGATGTCCCATTATTAGCCAATATCTTCACTCCAACAGTCTTTAAAGGACAATTCCACCCCAAAACGTTTAGTCCATTGTTGATATAGTCCCAAAAATGTTTTGCATGTCAGGAATCAAGTTTTCAAGATATATAACTTTCAAAATACAGAAATACAGCCGGTATGATTCATTTTGCCTCATTTGATGCAAAAAGCAGCATCTTATGATAAAAAAATGCATCATACCAGCTGTATTTCTGTATTTTGAAAGTTCTACATATATCTTCAAACTTGATTGCTGACATGCAAAACAATTTGGGACTTCAACAATCGACTAATGAAACAAAATTAAAACATTGTTTTAGGGTGGAGTTTTCCTTTAAATATTGTTCTTTGTTTTTGCCTCCACTCCAGCCATTCTTAGTTTCCCAAGAACTAGCACTTAACGTGCTGAGGTCTGGTATCATGACACTAGGCCTATTCTTCTTCCAAACTGAGAATAGTCGTGACACTATTCTTCCAACCCCGGCGGTCAGCCCCCCCAGTTAGGCAGTGCTCCATCCTCTGATACAGAGGTTGAACTGAATCTTGCCTCTACTACAGGATGGGGCACCATGACTCCTGACCCCAAAGGGAATGTGGGTTTTAATGACCTGTACAAGACAGGCCATTGGGGTGCATTCCAGGCAGACTACATTGCAGTCTCCTGCCAGATCTCACAACGCCTGGATAGGTGTTGTATCAGCTAACCAGTTAAACAGGTATAGCTAATCAGTTGTATCAGTTAACCGCATATGATATAGCAGTCTGACACCCGACAGCAAAGTTGATGACCATTGGTTGCTGCGTGAGTGCAGCATGACAGCAATATTGTCAGCCTGGAATGCGACCATTGCGACCCTGCCTAACAGGAAACCCAAAGCACGATAGCCTGGCTGTGTCCTCAACTCCCCCATCCTAACATTTTATCCATCTGTGACCATCTCTGTCTGCATCATTTTCTGTCATCTGAACCAATTACAACAAGCTGCTGAAGTCCCTTTTAACCATGCTATTCTCTAAAGATTCTCAACCCCACCCCTTAATCAGTTAAACTTTAAGGCATTTTGTATCATTTTCGCCTTAATGAACATGCCCAAAGTTAACCACTCAGGGGCTTCTTTGCAGTGAGGGAGGGTTAACCGTTTCATTCAGTATCCTGGGGAGGATGAGGGTCTTTGGGGCAAAGCTTTAAGAGCAGATTCACCATTGTTTGTTGCTTCATTCTCAAAGAAGAAGAGTAATCGTGACTTCACTTCTTTCACGCCGACTTACCTACATTTCATATTTAATCATAAGTTTACTTCTTAAAATTACTCACGTTAGCTAATCTTGATTCCTGTATATTTGGAGTTATCGTCTTGTGTGTCACAAAATGTATCACTGCTCCTATTCTCTGTGCTCGTCTATATCATACGGACAGACTCCACGTGAAGCTCACAGTAGTCAGCACCTGTCTGATCCCAAACAATTCACCTGGGTCGTGTTCATTATGCACCAAACAAAAGAAAACAGACTGAAACCGTGAGGGACTACATGGACTTATCTGCCCAATAAGAAACGCTCCTTTTCGTTTTCGGTTTGAAAACGTTTGACTCCGGTGCATCCTACTGAAGACGACCCTGACTACTGGAGCTCAGTGGGGTTGGTCAGTAGCAGACAAAAAGGGGTAACAGGTCATTCATGTCATGTGCCACAAAAAACCAAAAACAAACAAATAGGCCTTTAGAATAGAAAAAAGGAGGAACGAGAAAGAAAAAGAAATCTTTGTTATTTTGTTAATCATTTTCATAATCTGATCATCTGCAGATTAGTGTATGTACTGTATCTGTATTGCATTGGGGAGGGGGTCAGTATTAGGACATGGGTTGGGGGTAGTCTGCTGTAATCTGTCTTTAGTTTAGTGGCGGTCCCCAGCAGCGGCGCTCTGTAGCAGCTCTGTGGCGCTCTGGCCTGGGGGTCTGAAGGCTGTCTGGAAGCCTGGAGGAGGGCTGTGGAAGTGGCTGGGGTTGGCTTGTGTGGGCTGGGTCAGGCCAGGCAGGTAGGGGGCCCAACCGGAGCCTGCTCTGTGGTGGAGGTGTGGGTGTGAGGAGGCCTGGTCTAGGAGGCCGTGGTGGTGGCTGTGGTGCTGCTGGTTCTGGGGCTGCTGGGGGAGTGACGGCAGCGCAGGGCCGTCCATCTCTGTCAGGGCCTGAAGGGATTTGAGCCAGTGCGGAGGGTTCTGGTCCTCCTGGAGACAGTCTAAACTGCTGCCTGTTGAGGCTGGGATGCCTGAGGGGAGGGGAGGGGAGGAAAGAAAGAAAGAAAGAAGGAAAGAAAGGTGAATTGAGTAGATATCTCACTTCCAACCAGAATCTACAGACATAATTTGAATCAGCTGTGTAGTGCTAGGGCAGAAACCAAGGACAGAGTTTGGGAAACGCTGCAATACAGATAGCGAAGACAGAACAAAAACACATCATTTGTTTTATAATAAACAATTGTAAAGTTACTCACTACCTGTGATGATAGCTGGGTCCATCCAGCTGGCCGTACCGTCCCAGCTGAGGCTGTGTGAGAGTCCCCCAGGGCCCCCCATGTGGTTTGGCCCCCCGATGTGGTTCATACTAGAGGAAGAGGAGGAGGAGGAAGAGGAGGAGGAGTTGGGGAGACCCCCGAAGTTGATGTTGATGTTGGGGAGGAGAGCTCTCAAACCGTCCTGCCATTCTTTCACATTGAGGCCGTCTATAGAACTGCTGTTTTCTGCAGAGCGAGAGAGAGAAATAATACATTTAATTATGAGAACATAAGGAGTGCTGCTTTGCTTCTGTAAAAAAATATATCAACGGTAGATAATTATAGACATTTAATATAAGTCTTCACAGGTGGGTTTGGTCTGCCATCTTGTGGCCAAAACACAGAACTGCATCTGCATGTAATTTGTTTCTCGCATGGTCAATATAACATGATCAAAACAGGCAAAACGATTACATATGTTTTGATATTCAATGCTTGATACAGTCATACTGAACAGATTGTGTTAAACACGACTCAACCAGAGTCAAAGGTCAATTCCATTTCAATTTAGTCTACTCAGGATCTAAAATTACATTCAAATTCTAGTTTACTTGAATTTGACACAGGACATATAACAGACCCCAACCTTGGCCTCAACACTCCCAGAAAACAGACCCAGAGTACCCTACCTGACATGGGGATCCCTCCCAGCCCTGTACTGTGACTGTGGTGCTGAGGAGGCATGCTCAAGTCCAGGAAGTTGCTATGTCCTCCCCCAGCATTGGCCGAGAGGTTCAAGTGTGAGAGGAGGTGGTTATTGCTGCGGGCCGAGGGAGGCATGCCCATCCAGGTATGCCGAGCTGCAGCGGCCTGGGCAGCCTGACCTCCACCATGGTGACCGCTCTGACTCTGGGAACCAGGGAAACTAAAGGAGCTATACATTTGCCTGTGGTGAAGCTGAGAGAGGCGGGGTGGAGGTCCAATACTGTTGGGGAAATGGTTGGGGTTGGAGAGGGGCATGTGGAGGCCGTGGTGGGACCCGGGGTGGTGGAGGCCGAAGGGGCTGGGGGACCCCAGGGGACTGTGCTGGTCCTGGACTGACAGCTCCTTCTCTATGAGGTCAGCCAGGGCTTTCCGTGTCACGTCGAAGGGGTCGAAGCCCAGGTCGTCGTCCTGCTGCTGTTTAGTAGAGGAGCCGAAGCCGAAGGCTGCCTGCCAGTCTGTGGAGGAGGAGACCGGTATTGTGTCTGAAGAGGGGTGAGCAGAATGGAAAAGTTAGCAAGTGGTTAGTTTCGAACCCTGATATAGGCTCTTTAGCTGAAACATTAGTCAAATAAATCCACAGCAAGGAGAGACAAGTGTGTAACTTTCTTTTTAATTTGTACACGCTTCGACCAGTGGAGCAGCTACTGCGCTGTAAATGGAAGCATGTTTTATTTTAACAGCGAGTGTGCGCGCGCATCTGTGTGTTTCTGCCCCACACAACCCACCTGATGCGAAGAGGCTCTGTGGTTCAGGGGTCATGGGCCAGTCGGATCCCCCTCTAGGCGAGCTGGCGAAGGGGGGCAGGCCGGACGGGATGGGGTTGGGGTGTCTGAAGTTACTGTTGTCTGAGAAGAGGGACTGGGACTCTGCAGCGGCCCCCTCGAAGGGCGAGCGGGCAGTGAGGTCCACTACACTGATGGGAACCACCAGACTGCTGGGGGGCTTAGTCAGCCCCGGGGGAGGGGAGGGGGACTCACTGTTAGGCATCTGGAAGGGGGAGAGAGGAAAAAGGGGATGGAATTAGTGGGGGGACACTGGTAATGTCTTACATCGTAACATTTGTAAGCAATAATAATAAGTCATAATGAAAACAAATATTTTATAGGTCCAACCAATGCAGCCGTTTTTATGTCAATATCAAATCATTTCTGGGTAACAATGAAGTACCTTACTGTGATTGTTTTCAATTAAAATGGTCAAAAAGAAACAAAAGTTGCTTCTTAGCAAAGGGCAATTTCCCAAGCAAGAATTTTGCTAGGACTGTCTGGGAGTGGTCTGATTGGGGAGGGTAAAACTAGCTGTTATTGGCAGAGAGTCTTGGAACTCTTTCTTATTGGTCTATAACAAATTTACTGCCTAGGCAGGCCAAAACTCCATCCCAACAAAACATGCTGAAATTTCAGGCGGTATTTTCAAACGTCTCTTACACTAAAATGACATTGTCATAATTTTCACTGTATTATTCTAACCTCAGTGTGGAAATATATACAAAACAAAGGAAAAATCACATTTTGGACTGCACTGGGCCTTTAAATGGCTCAGAAGAAACAGTATAGTCTGGATAGATTTGACAATAATTTATCCAATAACATCCCTATGTACTCCATGTGATAAAGTAATAATCTATAAAAAATCTTGACACTACATGTCAAATTAACTAATTAGTAAAGATCTTCTTACCTGTTGTAAAGTCGTTCCATTCACCATACCTATTGATTCCGGAGGTTTGTCGCTGGGACTAGAGGGAAACAGAAACAGACCAACATCAGACTACGCAGCTGTGCAGTTCATGGCCTAACAAAAGGGACCAAAAAAGGTGTCCAGTTTGGCTTGTGAGTTATACCCTTTTCAGTTCACTCTATTGTGCCGACCAAACTGTGCTGGCTCTGATATTTTTTGTTCACATTTCCCTTTTCAGCACGTTTCCAGCAACTATAGTGAATGCGTAACCATATCTTCTCAGTACAGCTTGGTTTAGCTCGACTCAAGCCTTAAACTGTATATTACCTGTCTGTGTTAGTGTATATTAGTAGTTTGGCCTTTATGTGTCACGGTAATTACCTGTTACTGTCACAATTGGAGCAGAAGGGGGACAGAGCCCATCCCTGTGTCCAGCCCCAAGCCCCACTAATATAAAACTAATGTAATACTATATTACTATATATTACCCATTGCTGTCACAATTAGAGGAGAAGGGGGACAGGGCAGCCCCTTGGCCAGACCCCATCCCCAGCTCTGTGTCCGGCCCCAGGCTAAGTCCTAACCCGTCTGAGGTCATGACCGCTGGGTCCAGACAGCAGTCTAGCAGCGGAGGAGATTTCCCGTCCTCTGACAACCCATTGGCCAGTTTGCCACCATACCCTGATAGTGTCGGCCACCCGTCCTTGCCATTGCTGGGTCTGTGTTGAGAAATTGACAAAAACAAGAGGTCAGCATCGAATAGAGGTGTTGTGTGGAAGACTTGGCGAGAGAACCGTGGCCTGCGGTGGTCTAGCAGTTAGTTAGTGCCACAGCCTTCAGTGCAAATATTTGCTGTTGTTTGGGTTTGCGGCGAGAAGTTTTACGTTTCACAAAGTTTATTTGCCATACAAATAATGTATTAATTACATGTATAAATGGATCTCACCTCACCCAAGGTCCCACAATAAAATGACACAATAGAAACTGCAAGAAAGAAATATGCAAATACATGGTGTATACCAGGGTTTCCCAAACTCGGTCCTGCCCCCCCCCCCGCCCCGGTGCATGTTTTGGTTTTTGCCCTAGCACTTCACAGCTGATTCAAATCATCAAAGCTTGATGAGTTGGTTTATTGAAATCAGCTGTGTAGTGCTAGGTCAAAAACCAAAACGTGCACCCAGGGGGGGCCCCAGGACCAAGTTTGGGAAACCCTGGTGTATACAACAACCAGCAATTAAATCATAACCCTGATTTACCTGAGAAGTAAGGTAAATGTCATCAAATCAAAGGATACTGCGTGGAAGAAAAAGACACCAAAATACCAAATGTACCTTTGTGTAGAATTTGAAGATTTGCTTTTTGACTTTTCCCCTGAACATGTTGGTGTTTGTAGAAAGCTAGGGTTCATTTTGTAGAGGTCCTGAAGTAGTTTCTGCTCGTATTCTTGGTGTTTCCCGGCCTAAAGGACACAAACATAACATGAAGTCATTTTAGCAGTGAATAATAACACACAATGCTCCCACTGTGCACCACAGACACCTAACTCAATTCAACTGTATGGCAGATTGACGACGACTATAGGAGTTGGCTATACGACGCATACAAATCTGGGACCAGGCTAGGTCCGAAGCAAATTGAAGTAAGAATACCATACAAAATAGTGGCAGATACAACAAATAAACCTCGAAAGAAAAAGGAAGAATACATAAAACAGCTAGGGCTATCCCATACATCTGAATGAATGAACTTTATTGATCCAAGAGAAGAAATTGGATCTGTCACCATCATAGGACACATATGCCCTGGCATACTGACCCCCCCCCCCAGGCAAGTACAATACATGACGTCAAGTTATCTGCCATCTCTATTCACCCACCGACAATCACACAGACAGGAAGAATAAAGGTTTGTTTACCTGCATCTCCTCTTTCGTAAAGCTAGCCGCCTCGTCCCCCAGCTCATGTAGATACATACAGTCTGGTTTGGGACACTGCATGCTTTTGAGGAAGTAACTGCAGTATTTTGTTGTGCCTAAAGAAGCCTGCAATAAAAAAAAAACATACAGAAAGAAAAGCTCAGTGAAAATGTACTTGTGATGACATCATTCTGTTGAATGTTCTCTTCAGCTGAGGTTCCCTCTAATGCATAATATTCTTACTTATATAAGTCAGAAGTCATATAGTATTTGATAGCATTCCTTACAAAAAGTAAGACACAGATTTAGCCTAGTCCTAGACTAAAATGCACCTTCAATGGAATTTCTCTACTGAGAATTTGTATCCAGTATTTGGTTTAATCTGTGTCCGGGAAACTGGCCCTGAATTTCTGTTTCTGTATGTTAAGTCTCACACCTTGAGTGTTCTACCGTCCACCACCACATTGTTCACACATTGTATTGCTCTGAGGGCGTCTTCAGAGCGGATATAGGTGACATAGGCACTGGCACTGGGACCCTGTGGATCAGAAAACAGTGAAACTTCTATTCAGAATAGGTCATAAGAAACACGGCAAGTTTTTTTTATTAGATATGTAGTTCATGTCACATTCTCTCTACCTGCTGTTGAATTCAATCCCAGGTAGTGTTGTCGCGATAACATAATTTTGACATCGGTACCAAGTTTAGTGTTGCGATACTCGATACTCAATACCAAAACGATACCATGGCAAAAAGAAGGCGTATTAGCCAAAGTCACAGAATGTCATTTGATCCAGAAAGATCTTTTGAGTTCAATATCATTAGAAATGTTTTGTCTATTTTTCAGAGACAGCCAAGTATGCATTAATGAATGAAATATACAATCAATTTGACTTTGGTAAAAACAAACTACATTACATAATGTTAATAATTTATTTGAATGGTAAATCTCTATTGATAAACTGGATAAATAAAAATAGGACTAGGCCTATTCACAATACAGGTGAATACATATTCAAGTGTGTGTTGCATTGAGTTATTGAGCTTGTTTTGGCTGATTTCATGGGGCTATAGATGAAAAACAATCTGTTTCCCTTCCATTTGGGACTTATTTTATTGTACTGATCAACAACATTTGCATAGAAGAAACAGTCTCTTATTTTATAAAAGTGCGTACTGTCTCTTTAAGACCTAATGACGTCATTCACACAGCGAGAGAGACAGGAGAGATGTGATGCTGAGGAGACGAAGTGAATTAATACAGTTTTTGGTGAGAATCAGCTTTGAAATCAGCATATTTTGCATTATGTTTATATAATATCAAACAAAGTACTAGGGTAGTGAATTGATGTTAACTTCAGCTGTAAGCTAGCAAGGAAAGCTAGCCTACAAAGCTACCGGTATCTTATTGCATTGTAAAGTGTTCTAGCCTGTAATGGACCATGTTTTGTGAACAGTAATTTATATTTTACATTTACATTTTAGTCATTTTAGCAGACGCTCTTATCCAGAGCGACTTACAGTTAGTGAGTGCATACATAATTTTTTTAATTTTTCATACTGCCCCCCTGTGGGAATCGAACCCACAACCCTGGCGTTGCAAACGCCATGCTCTACCAGCTGAGCTACATCCCTGCCGGCCATTCCCTCCCCTAACCTGGACGACGTTGGGCCAATTGTGCACCGCCCCATGGGTCTCCCGGTCGCGGCCAGCTACGACAGAGCCTGGATTCGAACCAGGATCTCTAGTGGCACTGCGATGCAGTGCCTTAGACCACTGCGCCACTCGGGAGGTACAGTTGCAACAGTTCTACATGCCATGTTGCATTATTCAAATGTGTTAACTTCTGTACAGCATGAGTGGGAAGCTAACATGATGCAGCCCAGACTCCCAGTGAGTGCAATGGTTCCTCAGGACAGGCTAGCGCTAGTAATGAGTAAGTGGAGCAGGCATGGAGCAGGCACGGTGCGCTCGCGCTATAAGGAGACATCGGCTACGCTGATACAGACTTGATCCTCTCAATCAGTAGACGACATGAGACATTTGACAGAAATACCAAAAGTAACAAAAATTCTATCGCCGAACCGTTTCTGTTCTAGTATCAAAAAAGTTCCGAAGTTGTGCCACTTAGCAGGCACTTTTATCCAAAGTGATTTACAGTACAGTGAGAGTATATATTTTTTGTATGGGATCTCTGCAGGAATTGAACCCTGAACCGTGCCTGTTACCAACTAAGCCACATAGAACCAGCTCTTACCTGTGAACCTGCATATGATGTGCTGTTGTTGATGACCACCTTGTGTATTTTCCCAAACTTCCCAAAATACTCTGGCCTCTTTAGAACCTGTGGAGAAACACAGAGACAGAAAGAGGGGTGATGAATGTACTATGCTCTAGCATTATGAGAAGTTGTTCACAAACAGAACTTTATAAATACAGTTGGGAGGGACAACAAATTGAGCTAGGTCAGTAGACCAGAAATATGATCAAGTAACAGAATAGTGAGGTGAGACGCTCCATATCTCACTCTAACTAGGTTATGGCTGAAGCACAGTGGAGGGGTGGGGACTTAGATTTAGCATGTGTTTGTGTGCGTGTGTTAGCACAATGTGCTATGATAAAACCATGTACTCTATGTGCAACAGCTCATATAAGCAGCAAAAAACATTGCCCAGAAAAAAAAGCATGCATGGGTTAACTGTAGAGAGAATGGGATAGTGTATTACATGGAATGTATTTCATATAGAACAAGAAACCTATGGCATTTAGCTTAAAAAGGATGGGGGAAAATAACACCCATGTAACACCCAGGTTTTCCAGAAATCCTAGTTGGAGGATTCCCAATTTCTGGAAAACCTGAGAATTTTGGCAAATGTTCCTGGAATTTTGCCACCTTAACAACAATTATAAAAATTATTATGTTTAATAATACATGCCATTTAAGAGACACTTCTATCCAAAGCAACTTAAAGTCATGCGTGCATTCATTTCACGTATGGGTGGTCCCGGGAATCAAAACCACCATCCTGGCGTTACAAGTGCCATGCTCTACCAACTGAGCTACAGAGGACCACATATTTACCCCTAGGCAATATAGAGCTGTGTTTCTCAACTCCAGCGTGGGATAAAATGTATGCCTGTGTAAGTGGCAGTAGTCTTGACATTTAAGGTAGGAAATTCACTAAATATCTTCATTCTCAGCATGCCAGCATTTCCTTTGGGTGTGAGGGGGCCTCAAGATTTGCATAAAAGAAGAAAAACTACAAACGGTTAGTCATTTTATAAAAGAGGGTAAAAAAATAACACAACCCCCTATTCACACACACACACAGGTCAATATTTATGTGGTAGGCCTATATTGTGGAATCGAACACCAGGTTTCTCTGCACCACCCTGACCCTGTGTGTGTGTATGTGTGTCTCCTGTCTCACCTCTGGGTCTGCGAGCCTTTGAGAGAGCCCGACCACGAACACCAGGTTTCTCTGCACCACCCTGACGCTGGCCAGGTGTTTCCGATTCTCCGTCACCTTCTGCTTCTTCTCGTTCTGCTTCTGCTTCTTCTCGTTCTTTATCCTCTGGATCTCCTCCTGTGACAGGGGCTTGTACACTGCAGGGTCTTCCGGGTATGGCTGGATGGTAGGGGGCAGAGATAGAAAGACAGGTAAGCTTCTACTAGATTGTATGTCACATTTCCATAACCCCTATGTCTATTGACAGCACACCCAGCCTCACTTTTCTGCAGGATGGGCAGAGGCTGTTCTCGTCTGTGTGGATGCAGTGCCAGTAGATGGGTAGGGTAAGGGCCAGGGTAAGATAGGTTACGTACCTTTCTGCAGGCGGGGCAGAGGCCGTTCTCATCTGTGCGGATGCGGTGCCAGCAGAAGCGGCAGATCTGGTAGCCGCAGGTGCAGGGGAAGAAGTTGACGTCGTCAATCTCCAGCGGCTCCATGCACAGAGGGCACTCCATGGGGTCATCCTTCATCTCGGGGCTGTGGGACATCCTATGGCACGGCGAGGGGGAGCAGATGTCACGGCTGGTCACGGGCTGGGAGGGAGGAGCGTAGTAAGGGATGAGAGAGGATAGAAAGTACAGACTGACAATTATGCTACTCAGAAACTCTATTTGGAGTATTTCGGAAGTATATGAATTTTGAATAATGCGAACATGAAGAGTACACACTACTGTCAATGCAAAATGTAGGTCTAAACCAGACCTGCTCACTTAGTTAGTAGTACTGGTAAAGCCATATGTCTTATTATCATGTAGCCTAAGCTAAATGGTATGAGGCTTATCAATATCTTCGGTCTGTATTAGCAGCTTGTTACAAAGTAGTGACTTGTGGAAGCAACAAACAAATTATGTGGTGTTTTGACAGTAGGAGGGCATTCTATCGTGTAGCTGTCAACTGTATTACATCACAGGTTGATCAAATAAACAGGCCTATCGAATCTTGGGGTTTGTTGAGGATGGGCTTGCGCTTGTCTAGGATGTAAATTGGATGTTTAACTGAAACAGTTAGCTAGTTATTGATTGGAAGTAGGCAAAATCTGTCATTGACAAACTAGCTAGCTAGCTACATGCTAGCTAACGTTAGCTACAGGGTAACACTAGTTGGTTGAATTGCACTTCAAAATGTGTTGCTAAACTACAGCCTAAATAACAAGGGCTTCGCGCCCCATCCTGTCTCTCTCTGATGCAGATGTACAAGCAAGCAGCAAACGTCAGCTGACTGATAGTTACAAGCTATGCTAACCAGCTTGCTAGCTAACTAACGTTAGCATGTTTCTAATGGTTTGCAATGATTCGCTAATGTTAGTTCGCGGCATGACATTATGTGTTAGCTAGCCCGCAAAAAGCCGTTCAGCCGCTGAAACAAAATATGAATATAAGACTCAAGTCAACGAGTAAAAGGACATACACTTAATGTTGGGTTGAGTAAATAGTTAACCAAAGTTCACAAGACAGGCAGTCTTGTGAATACAAAGTGACAGCTTGCTAACCAACGAAAGTGCTAATAGGCTAACATTAGCCTACAAGCTAACTTCAGAATATAGGCTGGCATTCGCAGTTAGCTAACTTGGCAAACTAGCGACTGCGGCCTACTAACGTTAGTTCCCTAGCTAACAGACTCCGACACAGTAAACCATTGACAGTTCATTAAATCCACAAATAGACAACGATGCAAAGGATGGCATTGATACAGAAACTGTATCAATTCGTTCATGCAACCCTGGAGCTAATGTTATTTTGCCACGAAATCAGTAGCAGACAGTTACAATAATAGCTTGGGCTAGCTTGCTAGCCACTTACCCTGTCCGTATTACAGGGATTCCACTCCAAATGGACAGTCACACCAAATTGGGCGGGGATTGCTAATGTCTCTGAACTGTCCAGATTTGTATAGATAGACACTTTAGATTATGTTAGGTTTATTATTTCGCTATAATTCAAAAGGCTTGATAGATGTTTTGCCCTTTTCTTTCTTATCTGTAGAGACACTTTACGCTCTAACCACCATCTTAACGAGCATTAAAATAGGGAGGAGTGAATAGGGCAAGCGTTTAGTATGTACTGAGGCTGCGCAGGAGGTGCATTGTGTGAAATGTAGTTAATTATAGTTTCAGTCTGGAAATGTATGACAGAGGCAAATTTCAAACTGGGCTGTGGGTACGAAAATCCCGGCCCTTCTGGGAATGGGCCTGGTAGTGTGTTTGAAGTGGAGGGAGTACATTATTTATTATTTTATTTTACCAGGTAAATTGACTGAGAACACTCATTTACAGCAACAACCTGGGGAATAGTTACAGGGGAGATGAGGGGGTTGAATGAGCCAATTGTAATCTGGGGATGTTTAGGTGGCCATGACGGTATGAGGGCCAGATTGGGAATTTAGCCAGGACACCGGGGTTAACACCCCTACTCTTACAATAAATGCCATGGGATCTTTAGTGACCACAGAGAGTCAGGACACCTGTTTAACGTCCCGTCCGAAAGACAGGGCTTAGCATGTCTCTCGAGGAGGCCCAAAAAATATTTTGGCTTGGAAAAATCTAATATTTTCAGAAGGAATCAGGTAATTGGTTAAGGGAGGAGGATTGGATGGAAATAGAGAGGTTGTAAAGACTGAGGGAGGCAGAGGATGGGTTTGAATCTGTTTAAGCTAGCAATAACAAGGGAGAGGGTATGTCGAGGAAGACTGGTGTCAAGTTCAAACAAAGTGAGCCAGACGCCAGTTCGAGTTCTGGAGGTGAAAAGGAAGGGGTAGAAGGTGTTGTGAGGAGCTTGGAGCCCGAGCCTTGCATTGATGGACATGGTTATGATAAAGATACATTTGGTCCAGTGTGAGTGAGATTTCTGATGAGGGTGGAACCAGGCCTTTTGGCTGATCCATGGATGGTTTCAGGTTGGGTAGAAAAGATGGTGGGTGCTGTTGAGTCGGTGAAGGTAACCCGAAGTGGATTTGTGATGTTTGTTTATGTTTCTTCAGATCAGAGGGAGCAGGTGCTCCGTGCGACGCAACTTGGGTGAAGATCTGTTTCTTGCTTTGCTCTTAGGAACAGGGCACCATTGAAAGGAGTGATTTCAGGGGTAGCGTTAAGTGTGGAGGGGGAGCAATTGAAGTAGAAGATTCCCGGTATTTGTGACGCCCACCGTTTGGTGCGATGCAGACCCGGTGGTGAGCGTGGTGAAACAGAGGAGTCACTATCAGTCCTTATGAGTTTTGAGTCAGTCTTTACCCAAGGTAATGTTAGGATATATCAGTTATCCTGTTAGAGCGTTTGTGGCGAATCCACTGCACTGATTCAGGTGCAACGTTTATGGTCATGTCGCAGCAGTGTGTATGTGGGAGATTCCAAGATGTGGGAAGTGTGCAGGAGGGCATGGGATAGAGGATTGTGTAGTTTCGGTGGATAAAGTTGTGTGTGTCAACTGTAGGGGTGCCCATGTTGGTGGGGATCGGAAGTGTCGGTGCGAGAGAGGCAGGTTGAGGTGGCTAGAGTCAGAGTGGTGCAGAAAGTGTCGTATGCTGAGGCAGTGAAGAAAGTAGAGGAGGATGGGTCAAGGGTGTGGGATTCTGAGAGGATCCCTGTGAATAGTAGATATGTGCTAGAACAGAGGGATAGGCCAATGAGTGATATATGCTTCAGAAAGGTTGGCTTCTTAGCGTTCAAAGCAATGGTTATCAACTGTACTGCAGAAATGGAATGTAAATCACAGAAAATAGTTGTTGTGGTGGCAGCTGCAGAGAAGTACTTGCGGGTACGAGATTTGACTTCAGAAGAGTTACAGGGTGTGTTGAGTGGTGGTGTCCCATTCTCTCAGGCCGTTGGCCTAGGGTAGGATGAGATAGGATTTAATGAGTATAGGGTTAGTTGGTAGGGTAATTCAATTATATATTTTTTAACTAAACAAACAAAAAATACAAATATATATTCTTTTTTTCGGTTCCCCTTTTTTCATTTTGTATCACAAAGTGTAATGGACCTATACTATAGTTCAGTTGGGGGCAGTAATGCAACATATTGGATGCCAACCGCCGTTAAGTGACCAGTGACAGGCGTGCTGCCAGGAGCCCCATCTTAACACAGCTTTGAGTGTCTCTGCCCTGGAACATCCCAGCCATGATCCCACCCGCAAGACTGAGGAGAGGGGAGAGAGGGGTGAGTGGGAAACCAAATTTCAGCTATGAAGTCAATTAAGTATTTTTTTTTCATTTCATGGGTTTATTCCCTGTCCCTAGATAGCTACCTAACTATCTCCTGCTCCTGAGACATTCACTGTTTCCTCTGTGGTCTGAGCCAAAGCAGGGTAGTGGACGGCACATAGCCGACCCTTCTGACAAACAAAAACCATCATCATCACCATCACCATCATCATGGTATTCCCATCATGGTATGCTATAGGTATTCCCAACCCTTACCCTTGTTCCTCTCTACTAGGCTGCAGGTCTACAGTCCCAGCGTTGTGCTCTCCACACAGCAGCACTCTCATGGCCCCCAGGGTCACCACCACCACACAGCAGCACTCCCATGGCCCCCAGGGTCACCACCACCACACAGCAGCACTCCCATGGCCCCCAGGGTCACCACCACCAGACAGCAGCACTCCCATGGCCCCCAGGGTCACCACCACCACACAGCAGCACTCCCATGGCCCCCAGGGTCACCACCACCACACAGCAGCACTCCCATGGCCCCCAGGGTCACCACCACCACACAGCAGCACTCCCATGGCCCCCAGGGTCACCACCACCACACAGCAGCACTCCCATGGCCCCCAGGGTCACCACCACCACACAGCAGCACTCCCATGGCCCCCAGGGTCACCACCACCACACAGCAGCACTCCCATGGCCCCCAGGGTCACCACCACCACACAGCAGCACTCCCATGGCCCCCAGGGTCACCACCACCACACAGCAGCACTCCCATGGCCCCCAGGGTCACCACCACCACACAGCAGCACTCCCATGGCCCCCAGGGTCACCACCACCACACAGCAGCACTCCCATGGCCCCCAGGGTCACCACCACCACACAGCAGCACTCCCATGGACCCCAGGGTCACCACCACCAGACAGCAGCACTCCCATGGCCCCCAGGGTCACCACCACCACACAGCAGCACTCCCATGGCCCCCAGGGTCACCACCACCACACAGTGCAGGTGGTCCAATAAGGGGCGTGAGAGCCATGGCACAGCTCAGAACCTCCTCCACAGAGCTAGGCAGCACTGCCGCCACAAGACAAGACCACATTCTCATTCATCATATGCTCATCATACACACCTTCTTAAACAAAATCAGTATTTCTCAACCCAATCCTTGGGGACCCCCAGCCTTTCCATATCTTTGTTAAATTCCAATACTAGAATACCTGATTCAAATGATCAAGGGCTTGATGATAAGTTGACTGGTTAATAAATCAGATATGCTAGTGTTGGAATAGTTCAAATATGTGAAGCGGTTGGTGGTCCCCAAGAATGGTGTTGAAAAACATACAGCCATTATAAATTATCCAAGTACAGCTTTGCTGAAGTATTGCAGCTGAAGGTTTTGGAAGGCCTAATGTCTTGTTCATGGTACACAGCTCAGCCAGGTTGGGAGAGGTGTAGGCCAGGGCCTTCCAGCTGTCTGACAGGAGAGGCTTGCATGCCTTGTCAGAATCAGTTGGCTCATACCACACTGCAACACAAGTTTATCACATCAGGGTCCGTATGTACAGTTGAAGTCGGAAGTTTACATACACCTTAGCCAAATACATTTCAACTCAGTTATTCACAATTCCTGACATTTAATCCTAGTAAAAATTCCCTGTTTAGGTCAGTTAGGATCACCACTTTACATACACTCAATTAGTATTTGGTAGCATTGCCTTTAAATTGTTTAACTTGGGTCAAATGTTTCGGGTAGCCTTCCACAAGCTTCCCACAATAAGTTGGGTGAATTTTGGCCCATTCCTCCTGACAGAGCTGGTGTAACTGAGTCAGGTTTGTAGGCCTCCTAGCTCGCACATGCTTTTTCAGTTCTGCCCACACATTTTCTATAGGATTGAGGTCAGGGCTTTGTGATGGCCACTCCAATACCCTGACTTTGTTGTCCTTAAGCCATTTTGGCACAACTTTGGAAGTATGCTTGGGGTCATTATCCATTTGGAAGACCCATTTCCGACCAAGCTTTAACTTCCTGACTGATGTCTTCAGATGTTGCTTCAATATATCCACATAATTTTCCTTCCTCATGATGCCATCTATTTTGTGAAGTGCACCAGTCCCTCCTGCAGCAAAGCACCCCCACAGCATGATGCTGCCACCCCCGTGCTTCACGGTTGGGATGGTGTTCTTCGGCTTGCAAGCAACCCCATTTTTCCTCCAAACATAACGATGGTCATTATGGGCAAACAATTCAATTTTTGTTTCATCAGACCAGAGGACATTTCTCCAAAAAGTACATTCTTTGTCACCATGTGCAGTTGCAAACTATAATCTGGCTTTTTTATGGCGGTTTTGGAGCAGTGGCTTCTTCCTTGCTGAGCGGCACTGAGTTTGAAGGTAGGCCTTGAAATACATCCACAGGTAGACCTCCAATTGACTCAAATTATGTCAATTAGCCTATCAGAAGCTTCTAAAGCCATGACATCATTTTCTGGAATTTTCCAAGCTGTTTAAAGGCACCGTGAACTTAGTGTATGTAAACTTCTGACCCACTGGAATTGTGATACAGTGAATTATAAGTGAAATAATCTGTCTGTAAACAATTGTTGGAAAAATTACTTGTATCATGCACAAAGTAGATGTCCTAACCGACTTGCCAATACTATAGTTTGTTAACAAGAAATTTGTGGAGTGGTTGAAAAATGAGTTTTAATGACTCCAACCTAAGTGTATGTAAACATCCGACTTCAACTGTATAAAGCGTCTCAGAGTAGAAGTGATGTTGATATAGGATCAGTTTTTCCTTTTAAATCATTGTGAATAAGATTATATGGAGAGGAGGGACCTGATCCTAGATCAGCACTCCTACTCAGATTCTTTGTGAATGGGCCCTGATCAAACAGACATGCACTGATGGTGAGAAAATGGTGATCGATCACTATTGATGACTGTCAAAGCGGTCAGCTCTCCATACTAACCTGGCACTGCATGTTTCTTGGCGATGGAGCAAACATAGTCGATTATGGATACGGGTATATTTCCATCTAGAAACACGAGAGGCTGATGAAAGGTTTTCCTCAAACTGGGACACCTGTTTGTAGAGATATTTAGACATTCCCTCTAATTTAGTCCTGGGCAAAGTTGTTATTATTTCAGTGCTATTCTATAAAAAATTTAAAAATAAACAACGTGATATTTGTAGACTTTGATGTCTCGTAAATCAGACTCTCTTTACAGTTTAATGTAGCTGGAGTACCTGCTTCAGAAATACTCACATACTGTTCTCTGATTCGCTGGTAGATGTCCATGTCGCCCAATCCGAGACTCAGGTCACCGATCTCAGTGATCACAGCACAATAAGTAGCTGTCCTCTGCTCCTGAAGCCTGGCAACACCACTGGTGTTCTTAGCTAAAACAGGAAGCAGCAGCAATTTAATGTCATGCAAGAATACTATGGGAGAGGGATTCATTCTGCTTTGCATTTGGTCATAACAAATAGTTGTTACCACTCATCAAGGGGCGGATTTAGAGTTGAGATAAGAGCACACAACACCGCTCTTAAACTTCTTTGCATGTGTACCATGTGCTGAGAGTAGTTCAGTACAGCATCACTGTGAGAGACAGTTCCAATGGCTGAGATGAACAGAGGTCTTTGTCCCATTCTGTTCAGAGAGTCTGGTGGGAAAAACATCACAAAACTTAAAACTTCCTTAACTCAATGTAATATTTGTAAATTATATCCTCATAAACAGTTGAAGTTTTGCAGATAATGAAATTATAACTAACCAGCAAGGTTCCTTCCTACTCCACCAAATGACTGGCAAAGGCAAACAATTCCAGGATTGTCTGTCCAAATGTCAAATATCAAAGTAGTTATGTCTGCAACCAAATAAACCCGTTAGATTGACATAATCTGAATATAATAGACATAAGCCTACAGTATACAGTACAGTATCTTTGATGTAAGCCTATGTGAAGCTTGTGTGAGTTTCTGTGAACATACCACAAGCTTCTCTGTTTTCCCCTTAGCAATAAAATCCACGTTCACACCACCTATGACAACCTGTGATTTTAAAAAAAAGAAACAAGCCACAGTGGTATTGTACAGCAAGCATGTCACACACTGTCCATCATCCTAAAACTAAAGTGAGAAAAAATGATGCACTCTCCAAGATAAGAGTGGTTCACCTGTATTTGATGAGGAACATATGACTAGTACTCACAATGTTTGACAGTCAGAATCTTCCTCTTTTACGTGAAGACCAGGAATAGTCCTCTTCTTCTGCATTCGTTCAGACAGTGCACAGGCTATCTACCTGCCCAACCTGCCACTATTATGTATGAGAGCGATATCTTTGGGAATATGAGGTTAAGGGACCTCAATGTAATGAAGATACAAAAGTTCAGACGTATAAAGTTATATGTAGAATTTGTTTTTGTTTTTAAGAACAACAGATCATTAACTTTTTTGACAATATCTAACCTTACACTGAGAGTGACTCTGTGATATGATCTCTCTCTCTCTCTCTCTCTCTCTCTCTCTCTCTCTCTCTCTCTCTCTCTCTCTCTCTCTCTCTCTCATCTCTCTACCTCTCTCTACCTCTCTCTCTACCTCTCTCTCTACCTCTCTCTCTCTCCACCTCTCTCTCTCTCCCTCTCTCTCTCTACCTCTCTCTCTCCACCTCTCTCTACCTCTCTCCACCTCTCTCTCTCCATCTCTCTCTCTCTCCACCTCTCTCTCTCTACCTCGGTTTATTGGTGGATTATTAGGGACTTTCCTCTGGTCAATTCGTTGACCTTTTGAAGGATGAAGGGGACGTCACATCTCTTCCTCTAATACCTTTAGCACTAGAGGGGGAAATAGAAGGCAACAGAGAGCTAATCGTGCCACTAAGGTGAAATACTGAAACTTAAATTTTCTTCTCATGTCAGCGCAACAACAAAGAGACTCTGATAAGGAGACTTCCTGTGATGTCAGCCATGCAAGCAGCTATATAGAGATCAGGAAATAACCGTTCAGAAAAACAACACAAGCACAGACAGACCATGAGAACCAAATTACTAAGTGCTCAGTGAATGGGGCTCTATAGCGATACTGACAAAACACAATATGACTATCAAATACCTAAGTAAGCAAAAGACATATCCAAAAACATAGGAATTCAACTACAGCCAATATGAAAAATCATATTATGTTCTATTTTGAGCCTAATGCATTCCTTACATGGCCTCTGCCAGTGCAGCCTGTATAGCGTCCCCAATCTGTTGGCTGGCTGCTGCATGCTCCTCAGGGATGGGCACAGCCAATAGCAGGCCGCTCTGTAGACCCAAGGACAGAGGACCCGTTGTAGGCCAGGAGAAAGAGACAGCTTTAAAACATTATGAAGCAGTTATAATACATTGTAAAATTGACGACAGTGTAAGATTTAAGACTCCTTATAGTGTCTTATTATCAGCTCATAATGATCCTGACTAAATAACAGCCATTTTGAGTCAGTTGACAAAGACAGGGATGCCAGCTCTGTATGCTGCTATCATGGTGCCTGGTACAGTGGTGCCACCACAGATACCCTGAACACACACACACACAACAGTCCGGCAAGCAAGGTGTTCAAACTGAATAAGACTAAATTGACTGACTTTTTAGTTGTTTGTCCAAACCTTGACAGGTGGACAGGTGTCTCACCTTACTGATGGCATAGGGCAGGTCTTGTCGGGACACTTTCAGCGACGTCTTACTCTGGGCTAGGTAGTCAAGTTCTGAGGACAACCTTACATGAACCCTCCCCCTTACTATGGCCTCCACCTCTTTGGCTGTGCTGAATGAGGCAAAACGGTGATACTTAGCAACTGCCAATACTAACTCAGGTATGAATAAACAAAGGATACCATTAGAAATAAGCTCAATGAAATAATACATAAAATACTGAAAGTGCATTTCTTTTTGTGACATAAACAACATGCACAACACCTTTACATCAGGAACTTTGTGTTAAACAAAATGGTTATCTGTTGGATATGTTTGTTTGTTTGGCCTCTTGTACTGTACCTCACGCTGTGTGGGTAGGAAATGCCATGGGTAATAATGGTGCTCACTAGCACCACCCCCGGTCTGTTTTCTGCCAACGCCTGGGATACTGACAGGTGGACTCTGAAGAGAACATCTAGGGAAAATAATAAGTATGTATTTTTCAGAAATCTAGAGAATATACACGTACAACAACAATAAACTATGACAATCAAAACAAATTCAACATTTAATTGCAACATGATGCATTAGGTGGATGACTTGACAATTTTTGCATAATCTACTATGAAATGTTGAGATGCCATAATAATAATAATAATAATATGCCATTTAGCAGACGCTTTTATCCAAAGCGAATTACAGTCATGCGTGCATACATTTTTGTGTATGGGTGGTCCCGGGGATCGAACCCACTACCTTGGCGTTACAAGCGCCGTGCTCTACCAGCTGAGCTACAGAGGACCACGCCATGTCTCAGGAGTTGAGCAGAAACTCTCCCCAGCAATCTCAACTCAGAATGTGTTAGGGAAACACTGACAGCAGAATAAAGAAATCAGAATCCAAGAATTACAGTGCATTCGAAAAGTATTCAGACCCCTTGACTTTTTCCAAGTTTTGTTACGTTACAGCCTTATTCTAAAATTGTTTTTTCCCCCTCATCAATCTATACACAATACCCCATAATGACAAAGCGAAAACAGGTTTTTAGACATTTTTGCAAATGTATTACAAATAAAAAACTGAAATACTTTATTTACATACTGTAAATATTCAGACCCTTTGCTATGAGACTCAAAATTGAGCTCAGGTGCAACCTGTTTCCATTGATCATCCTTGAAATGTTTCTACAACTTGATTGGAGTCCACTGTGGTAAATTAAATTGACTGGACATGATTTGGAAAGGCATACACCTATCTATATAAGGTCCCACAGTTGACAGTGCATGTCAGAGCAAAAACCAAGCCATGAGATCGAAGGAATTGTCCGTAGAGCTCCGAGACAGGATTGTGTCGAGGCACAGATCTGGGGAAGGGTACCAGAAAATGTCTGCATCATTCTTAAATGGAAGAAGTTTGGAACCACCAAGACTCTTCCTAGAGCTGGCCGCCCGGCCAAACTGAGCAATCGGGGGAGAAGGGCCTTGGTTAGGGAGGTGACCAAGAACCCGAGTTCCTTTGTGGAGATGGGAGAACCTTCCAGAAGGACAACCATCTCTGCAGCACTCCACCAATCAGGCCTTTATGGTAGAGTGGCCAGATGGAAGCAACTCCTCAGTAAAAGGCACATGACAGCCCGCTTGGAGTTTGCCAAAAGGCACCCAAAGGACTCTCAGACCATGAGAAACAAGATTCTCTGGTCTGATGAAACCAAGATTGAACTCTTTGGCCTGAATGCAAAGAGTCACGTCTGGAAGAAACCTGGCATCATCCCTACGGTGAAGCATGGTGGTGGCAGCATCATGCTGTGGGATGTTTTTCAGCGGCAGGGACTGGGAGACTAGTCAGGATCAAGGGAAAGATGAAAGGAGCAAAGTACAGAGAGATCCTTGATGAAAACCTGCTCCAGAGCCTAAGCACACAGCCAAGACAACGCATGAGTAGCTTCGGGACAAGTCTCTGAATGTCCTTGAGTGGCCCAGCCAGAGCCCGGACTTTAACCCGATCGAACATCTCTGGAAAGACCTAAAAATACCTGTGCAGTGACGCTCCCCATCCAACTTGACAGAGCTTGAGAGGATCTGCAGATAAGAATGGGAGAAACTCCCCAAATACAGGTGTGCCAAGCTTGTAGCGTCAGACCCAAGAAGACTCAAGGCTGTAATCGCTGCCAAAGGTGCTTCAACAAAGTACTGAGTAAAGGGTTTGAATACGTATGTAAATGTGATATTTTATTTTTATTTTTAATACATTTGCAAAAATGTCTAAAAACCTGTTTTTGCTTTGTCATTATGTGGTATTGTGTGTAGATTGATGAGAGAAAAAAATCCATTGAATACATTTTAGAATAAGGCTGTTACGTAACAAAAATGTGGAAAACGTCAAGGGGTCTGAATACTTTCAGACCAAACTTTTTCCAATTTGCATGTCCAGGTTACAGAAAATAACATTATCACAGGAATAGAGTAGTGTACTTTAATATCCCATAGGGAAACTTGCTTTGCAACAAAGTACAGGCATACTTGTAAAGTACAGGAAGTAACCTTAATTTCATGTTGCAGAAACCAGAATTCTCAGTCTTGGATTCGCAGCATCAAAAGCAGCAGTGAGTAGCCTACCCCATCACTGCAAGGCACACATCCATTTCAACCATTCAGGAGATTTTCCATGCTCCAGTTAGTTGGAACAAATGAACTCCCACCTATTGGGGCACACTCAGCAAGCAACCTACACCCAATATCAGTGCTGTTTGCAAAATGGTGAAATTAGTGGAGTGGTCTATGTTCTTCTCGCTTTCTTATCCCACTCTATACAATAACTGATCAAAGACCCTTCCCAATAAGGGATATGTAAAGTACATTATTTAATTGTTCACACTTATCGATTTAAAGTCATAATGGTAGAGCAAAACACAGTCAACATTGTAACTTAATGGAACAACTCCTTGAAAAGAAGTGAGGAAAGGGCTCTGTCAAAGATATGGTCACATACTGTATAAAGTTCACACAAAAGGCCTTACACAATAACAATAACAACCGCAATGATACAACACAAAGTAACTCACAGTCACAACATGCTGCTATCTAACAGACATGAGAATGTCTTTCAGGAATGTCTTTCAGGAACTGAGTCAATAGTTGACATAACAATTCCTTAAGATTTTAGATATCCTCGTTCATTCATGACTAACATATTGTAAAAATGGCACCAGGCATTCCATTTCCCATAATTCATATCAGCTCATTATGAAATAAACCTTGTCTCCAACAATGCTGAAGAAATCCTTACCTTCCCCAGCATGTGAGAAATTAGAAACTGAGGAATGACAGCCTTTTTGCCCAGAAGAGTGAGTGAACTTTGACCCGGCCATGCTTTTTGTTGACAAAGCTTGCTTGACTTTACTATAGAACTCTCTGGCCTCTATCTTTTGATGGATTCACCCAGTCTCCCTGAGTTTGCGCAAGTGGAAATTAACATGATCATATAAGAATAAGACCAGAAAACTTGCAAGGCACAGATGAGCATAAATTGTAATAATTTTAAAATAATTAGGTTTTTTATTTTACTGGACTGATGGTACCTGCATCTGGTCATGTTGCTTTCAAGACAACTGGGAACTCAGAAAAAACGAGCTCAATCATGATGTCAATGATCTTCAGGTCAGAAAGTCGGAGGTCTACATTTACGTCATTTAGCAGACGCTCTTATCCAGAGCGACTTACAAATAGGTGCATTCACCTTATAGCCAGTGGGATAACCACTTTACAATATGTTTTAGGTCTCGAAAGATGCCAGAGTTTCCGACTTGAAATTCCGAGTTGGATGACCGTTCAAATCCTTGTCGGATTTCGTTTTGTTCCGAGTTCCAAGTTGTCGTGAACACACTGAAGTCGGAAGTCAGAGATTTCCGAGTTCCCAGTTGTTTTGAACACGGCATTAGTCTCGGCGGAGGGAGGGAGAGAAATGCCTGCTCTCTTTCTTTCCTCCTGTGAGACTGACTAGAGAAAGGGGACACCGTGTTCCACCTGATGGCAAAACCTGAGTCGCGGCGCATCTGCCTCGTGTACAAATTCATGTTGTTCCTATGACCAGAGAAAGTGAAATATTCCTCGATATTAAAATAGACACGACGAGCTGCTAATACAAATGCAGTAGTAGAGGAGCGCATTTCATGTTTTGTAATAGTGTTGAATATTTTAGTGCTAACAGTGCTCTAAACAGCAGCTCTTTGCTGTATTCTTTGACAGTCTCTCTGTGGTCATGGTTTTAAAAGTTATTAAATGTTACGTAGGCTAGTATCAAACTTTGCTGTGGCCGGGATCGTGGAAGCTTTATAGGCACGGTGATTTGAGCTATCCGATTGGCCAGCGCAGTATAGGCTCACTCGATTTAACCACAGATCTGTCGGGTAGGCGGAGTTTGTCTTCTCAGACAAATTAAATAGTTCAAAATGGGAACACTTTGCTTACCTGGTGCACATGGTTCTCAAACAAGTGCACATGCGGCCAACCGCGCAAAAACAAAAAAAAGGAGCGCAAGCTTTTATCGTTGTCTTTCCTACAGAAATGTTTGGTGATCGACAAGGAATGCCTTGAAGATCGCGATGACCGGTTGGTGACCACTGGTTTAGGATCCCCATTTACTGCACATGCAGCAGCTACTCTCATTTTTTTACATGTCATTTAGCAGACGCTCTTATCCAGAGCGACTTACATGAGCAATTAGGGTTAAGTGCCTTGCTCAAGGGCACATCAACATATTTTTCACCTAGTCTGCTTGGGGATTAGAACCAGCAACCTTTCGGTTACTGGCACAACGCTCTTAACCACTAAGCTACCTGCCGCCTAGGTGCCTGCCGTAACTGTACTCTCGCTGGGGTACTGAGTACATTTCAGGTCTGTTGAGCGCAAACTTGAACATTATGAAAATTCTGTGCAACTTCCAGCGTTTACTGTGAACACTGAGACTGTACACACTTTAAGTTACAGTTTTAACAGTGGCCATGTAGGCTACTGTGGCTATTTGATCATAATGGAGGCCTACCAGAGTGGCCTACCATCAAAAACAATGGAGAAAATGCATCCCATAACATTTTAACATGGAAATGGCTGTTCTAATATTCAGCCTACAGTAGCAGCCAATGTGGGGTGTTCAATGTAGGTCTACATTCCATGAGACTTTTGGAAAACAAACAAGCATGCAGGGCTTGACATTAACGTGTTTATCCACTTGTCATTCAGACAAGGAGGTGACTGAAAATGTTGTTGTGTTGTTTGATGCAAGAAACCACTTTACAAAATAAAACACATTATTATTCCCATACTATTATTACAGAGAATCAGACAAATTATGCTACCCTCTGCTTATTGGCTACTTAGCTTATTCAAGCATGTCTCAAAATACAACACTGCCCCTTTAAGACAAAAAATAGCTCTTTACCTGACTAGCCTTTCAAAAATGTCTC